AGGAAAGGGGATGAAGAGAACATTTTACCTTCCTTCAAGCTGTTCAGATTTCTTTGTATTAGGCACCAATACAAGGAACCACAACCACCCTGACTCAGCAGGGCAGGAAACATCATTTGCAGGACCCTCTAGTGTCTGGGAGATCAAAGGTTATGATCCTCTTATAGGGGATCTTTAATCACCCATTTTTGTCGATGTCTTCAGGGCTAGGAATTTATATAAATGCCAAAAGGAGATCCTTCATAACCTCTTCCCTTTCAACTCCAGGTTCAATCCTGTTCCAAAATTGGAAGATTCATCTTAATTAAAGGTGCCTCATTCTCATAATAATTTGGAGGTCACGGCATTTTTTCCCACTTGATCTTTAACAGGATTTGCTGGGAAGTCTCCTGCATCTGCTTTGAGTTGAGGTAAAATATGAGTCCCCCATGAAGAGATATAAAAAATACTCTAAGTTTTGAATCTTGTCCTTTATAGAAGGCTAACATATTTTTCACAATTTTCTCATTTGAATAGAATCTGTCGCCTTGGAACCATGTTATTACACACAGGAAAATGGCAACTTCTTCCTTATAGATCTAAGATGACCATGTGCATAAAAATAGCCTTAAAATCATAGGCAAAATGTGGCTCCTCCAAGGCTTTTTGGCCTATCCTTTGGAAAATGCTCGCCATATGTCTTTCAACCCCCAATCCCAATAAGAATTCATTTATAATGAGCCAGGGTGAATTACCAAAAAGTAGTCATACCCACTTCAACCTTATAGTTAAATTATTATTTCTAGCATTCATTTGCTTACTATGTGACACTGTTGTACTTACATGTATTTTCTAATTTGAAACCCAGTACAATTCCATGAGATAGGTACTGTCATCATCTCCATGTTGAGAAAACAAAAGCAGAGATTTAATGACTTCATATTCAGTAAGTGGCAACAGCAAAATATGAACTCAGGCAATGATTCCCAAAAATGTTGTACAATTGCTATAATCCTTCTTTGGGTAGTCTGTAAAATTTTATTTCTCCATAAACATAATGACATGAAGTACTCTGCTGGAGGTTAGTTGTAATTAGGGAGCACTATTCCCAACTATAAGGTATCCATAATCCAAAGTCTTTTCTCATAAGAATGTTTCCCTTCTCATAAAAGAGGCTATATGGAATATATAGTGAGAAAAGCACTAATTTAGACATCAAGTGATCTTAGATCTGGATTCACCGCAGCTAGATTTCTGTTGTGACACTAAGTTCCCTGGACTTCTGATGCCTCATCTTTATTATGTGCATTTATATACACAATTTTTTTAGTGTTTTTTTTTTTTTTTTGAGAGAGAGACAGAGACAGAGTGCAAGCAAGGGAGGGGCAGGGAGAGAGGAAGACACAGAATCTGAAGCAGGCTCCAGGCTTTGAGCTGTCAAGACAGAGCCTAATGCTGGGCTCAAACTCGTGAACTGCGAGATCATGACTTGAGCTGAAGTGGGACTGAGCCACCCAGGCACCTCTGTATACAATTCTAAAAACTCTGAGAATTACATGGCTAACACCCTCCTGTACAAAATCCAATGGAAGTTAATTGAAGTGAGGGAATAAAATTTCCACACTGCAGATGAGACTATCTGCAGTAATAAAGGAGCAGTTTCTTAACCTCCAGCATTATTGCCAAATGTCCCCTGATAATGGGAGGGCAGCATAGTTCACCATTATAGATGGATCCCACATCTCTTCCTCTATTCTCAAAATGTAGATGTCATTCCAGGGATATTGTCAGAATCATTGACTTAAATTTTGGGGGGAAAGGAAAAGATGAGGGGATTTATTCTAAGTCTGGGAGGATGTATCTAATCATTTCCTGTAGATTATAAAAGTGAGGCCCTCAAAAGTCATCCTACCTTTAACATTCTTCTTCCATGTATTTTTCTTCTGAGAAACAGGTTTTTTTATTATACCTGTAAATTCTGCTTCCTCACCACCAAGTTCCCCACAGAAATGATAGGTTTTATGTAAGTAGCTATCTGCAAGTCTGCTTAAATCCAACTTCTTTCCTACCTTAGTCTACATTCCTCTATTCCTTTGATCTTCTCTTATGCATTCAAATGATGAGAACTTTCATCACTTTAGCACTTTAGAGAAGTTATTATTTTGATCCAGAGTACACGTGGAAAAGAAATCAGAGTGGGTAAATGGAACATCACCATTAGGAATGCTGGTTAGTACTGGAAGAAAGACTGGCAAAACCCAGGAACTGAGGGCAATAAAAACCCCTCAAGAATTACCTTTATACAAGATATGGAAGCAACCTAAGCACCTACCATTGACAAATGGATAAGGAAGATGCGATAAATGTATACAATGGAATATTATACAGCAATAAAAGTGGTGTGATCTTACCTCGTGACAACATGGATGGACCTAGAGGGTATTGTGCAAGTGAAATAAGTAAAACTGAGAAAGACACATACCCTATGAATTCACTCATGTGGAATCTAAAAACAAAAAACAAAACGAAAAACAAAAAAAAAATGAATAAACAAGCAAAAAGCAGAATCAGACCTATAGATAACAAACTGATGGCAGCCATAAGGATGGAGGGGGTTGGGAGATGGGCAAAATGGGTGAAGGGAAGTGGGACATACAGGCTTCATATAAAATGAGTAAATCACTAGAACAGGGAACATTGTCAATAATATTGTTATAGCATTATGATGATGAACGGTAGCTCACTTGTGGTGAGCATAACATAATGTATAGAGAAGTTGAATTACTATGTTATACACCTGAAACTAATGTAACACTGTGGGTGAACCACACCCAATTTTTTTTTTAAAGATCTCCTTTATCAAGCCAAGAGAAGCAATATAGTTAAAAGGTTAAAAGTATGGAAACTGTTCCTAGGTTTCCCCATTTACCATGTAACTGTCTTAATGCTCCATCATTTGGCGTAATTCCTAAGAACTGTATCAAGGTCCTTCAGTGGACTTTCATGGCCTCCATTTCTTTAAAACCCAGTGTCTTAAAGGACCCAGCACCACGTGGACCCTGTTCTGATGTAGAGCCACTCCACCCTGTTGATAAAAAGCCTTTGGCTGGCACCTGCAAGGTCTTTTGTCCTTGGGGAGGCAATAAACCCTCTTCCCATAGTACTCAAGGAAGGGGATTGTTCTCTCCCAGTGCACCCTTGAGAAACGCTACACCTCGCCTGGTGTTCTGGGGCCAGCTCCCTCCTCCCCAGGAGTGTGGCTGCTCCAGGATTCTCTCTGGAGAAAGTCGCACACTTTTGAAACCTCTGAGTTTCAGTTCCTAAGATTGTTTGCAAAATAAATGTATTCTCTAGACCAGTAGCTACATACCAAATGAAGTGTTTTTAACTCGCCCTCACTGATGAGGATTAAAGGTTGTTTGCAAAATGGAAACTGGCACTCTCAGTATTTCTCATTCCCCAGTCGTGGTCCAGAGGTTTCCCTCTTGTGCTAACTAGATGCCAACTTTTACAAGCCCTCGCTTTTGACTGCACAGAAAGCGTTCCCTCCCCTCCATGCTTATGCTGTTTTATCTGCAATTCACATACACACACCTTGATCCTGCCAAGCCTTCTCCCTCCAAGTGTGGTGATCTTTCTGCCTCCGCAGATCAATTTCCTGGGTGTTCCAAGTGATCTTACCTCAATATAGCTGTGTTTGAGGAACAAGGAAAACCTTAGTCCCCTACTTCTCTGCCATCTTAAATCCCCTCCTCCTTCATCTTTTTAAAAGTTGCACCTATAACTAGCAGTTTTTATGCCCACTCATTGTGAACAGAATGGCTGGCTCGATTTTAGACCCAACTTAAATTACACAATGTTCAAATTGAAATGCTAGGTTTCCTAAGTCTACTAGTTCCAGTAACACTACCTTTTCCAAAGAAATAACTGAGAAAAACTTATAACCAAAGGCAAAATAGTGACCTATTTAGGAGGATCAAGTTAATCTTGTTTGGCCTGGAACAAAACAGTAGAGGAGCACACAGTGATCACCTCATCCTTACCCCACAGAAAATATGAAAGGTCGAAAATACTACCAAATGCTTTGTCATTTTCTAAATATTGCTGCCGCCTCATTAAACTTGGCATATCTGACCTTTTTTCATTAAGCAAGACTTGATGCTTTTTATTCCCTCTCCATCAGAGGATTGTAACTGAGAACTTTGAGGACCAATGGTATGACAAACCCAGGAGCAAGCAGAGCAAAATGACGAGACTGGTAAGTCAGCCCATGAGGGAATCAGAGCTACCTAAGGAAACAGAGCCTTGCAGGACACCCAAGAATAACCTCAAGGAGCTCTTTCCTAACCTCTCCAGTTTCCCCACCAGCTTTCTCCCTGTCCCACACACCTAGTCTTGCAAGGAAATGAAAATAACCACTAAGGGCTACCTACGTACATTCCCTTTCAGAAGCAACACATCAGGATATGGGCCAATTTTATGATCTGACACCATACTCATTTATAAGGTTAAATGAGTTTCCCAGGCATCAGTATTAAAAGCACATGTACTGAAGTTACTTGGCCCTTAAGGACTTAAGACTTTCTTCAAAGACAATATTTATTGCCTGTAAGCACTGCAGGGAGTCATACACCTATGAAGTCACCAATCTAACATTTGAGTATTTAGTCATTCAAAATTCTAGGAACACCAAAGATCTCTTCACCTACTCAGGGATTGGGACTGTAACTTCTTTAATTATAGTGATTTCCTGCACAAATACATCCTACTTCCCACATCCTTACAAAAAGTTTTGTTATACCTTACTCCTATACCACCCTGTACCTTAATAATTTTTTGCTTCTCACATTTTTTTAATTGGGTTTCTACTTGTCAGTGTCGCTGACCAAAGCAACTGAAGGAATAAAGAAATGAGACCTCAAACCATGTATGTAAACTGGGTAATTAAGGTAATAAAAAAAAGGAGATTACTAGCGTACCTAGGAACAGTGAGGTAGAACTTGTCACATCAAAATACAAAATTTTCAAAACAGTACATTTTATTTCACATTAAACAACACATTCCCCAATTTGTCTCAGTTGTGACATGTCGATAGCTTTAGATTGCTTTTGGTGGTCACCCATGTTGAGCAAGATTTTTCAATCTTCAAAACACTCAAAAATCAAAGATTCTGCATTTTCACATCAGTTCACAAGTCAAAGTGTATCTTCCCATTTATTGGAACATTTGGCATAGATTCCCTTTTAGGCAGAAGGGTACAGATGAAGCCATTTCCTTTAAAAATGTATTTGTTCATAATTTCATTTATGCCATAAAAATTCAGATGATAGTATGTTCTTATTCTTATCAATAGCAGTAGTCTTAGGATGTCAGGAACTGTGAAAGGAAGGCTTTTAGTTACTTTCTCCTGTCTAATTTCCAATAATGTACTCCCCGACCCCAACTTGAAAATATGGGTGTTACAGAATCCATCTGATACCACAGTATTAAAGGCCAAACAGTATTTCAGATATATCTGATGCCCAAATAAAAATGTACAAAGCGAAAACTAGAAACATCACACCCAATTTGTCTTCAACTTTGTTCCCTCCACCAATTATCTTTTGCCATTCACCTATTTCCTTCTTCATTTACAGATGTAAACTAAAAGTTATATAAATTACTGTGAACAATAAAGTCCTCCTCTTTTGCAGTGAATGTTGACTTTAAAACTACCTTCTGATGGAGGTTACATTGATTTAATTAACAAATCCCATAATTATCTAACTCAAGGTTTAGTTGATAACTAGCTCAAAATTGTTTCTCAAAGACTTACAGAAATTAGTGGGGGACAAAGTACCATGTCTTCATCGCAATAAGGACTACTGATCGGAATTGCATTAAACTAAAAAAAGCAATCCCCTAGTTAGACTTGGAGGTAGTAATGTTTTTAAAACCAATACCAAACACAGGCAGGCTGCCCTTAGAAACTGGTTTGACCTTTTCTTTCACTCTTCCTCCTATCCCACCCTCTGTGAGTGATTTAAAAATAGAAAAGGTCAAAACCCAGTTGGGCCTAGATTGAGGATTGTTGTTGATTCCCTCCAATTTTTGCCAATTACTTCCAATTTCTATTATTCTGAAATTTTAAACATGGTAAAATTGTTAAGCTATTTTAATTAACTGATATTATTCCACTATTAAGAAGTCCTTTCTTGAACATGTTTTGATGGTGAGATTTCTAAAGGTTAAGTTGAGATACTATTGCAAAAGAGAAATCATGTCTCCATCTCCAATTATGTTATGTATTTCAAAGAGATCTATTTAGGCAGCACATATTTGTCAGAATGTAAAAATGTAAACAATTAAAAACAGACAAAACTGGTAAATGCATTTTAAAACCAATTGTGGCTAGAGTATAAGTGTTTCCCCAATGCTGGTACCAATGAAACTGGAATTTGGGAATTAGTTGTTTGTCATCCCTCCTTCTGTCCAGCAGCGGTCACAGTCATTTTTCATTAGGGATGGGCCAGGAAAAATAAAGTGCCTATTATAAAGAAAGTTCCTGCAACTTAAAGAGCAAGCTCAATAGAAAACCCTGCTTATTGTAGTGGCCAGAGTGGTAGAAGAAACATGGAACAGCAATTAAAACCCACAACATTATTTACGGACTATGCCAAGCCCCTAACCAGAAAATGGGCCAAAAGAAAGCTTTAAAAGTTCTCTAGGAAAGCATTTATTTTTTGTTTTTGTTTTGTTTTTTTCATGTCTCTCGGGCTATCTGGGAACATAGCAAAGAGCCTTATACATAATAGGCATTCAAATGTACTTGTAGAATGAATAAATGAAGAAATGAACAGTAATCTCTTATATTCTAGTCTCAAAGCTAACTAAAAAGTATCTTTCAGTCAAGATCTTTTTTTGTTTTCTGTCTAGCAATTAACACAATGCCTTGAAATAGACACTTCCATTTAAAGAAGAATTTCATTCCTTTTTGTTTTGTTTTGTTTGTTTTTGTTTTGTCCTATTGCATCTCCAAGACAAAATAAGTGCCTTTCTTACCAGATCTGTTCCAATTTAACATCACCTTCCTCAAAGTTTGTATAAATGAAAAGTTCTCTCTTATTCCCACTCTATAAAACATGCCAAAGAGAAGGTGATCATTTGTTCTCAGTGTCTTACTATCACAGCTGCTCAATAAACTGAAAGAACTGCAGTCTCTTATTAAATTAGTTCCTATGTTTCTACCATAAACTAGTGAGATTAAAGTACATTTTGGTATAGGTCCTTTAAGTCTCTTCATTCTCTGCATTTGAGAACATTATACAGGGTAAATAAATTTTTACAAAATACAGAAAATCTAGAAAAAAATCTGTACTGCTCAAGTGGCTTCCTGACTCTATGCCAGGCCAATAAGCAAATATTTTTAAAACCAGTTGTTTTATCTTATTTCTCATCTTAAACCATCCATCTATAATCAAAACAGAATGTTAAAGTAATGAATTAAAGGACAAACCCTAAGCTCCCTTATTATCAGTCTTCTGGCTTCAAACTAGGTCAATGAGCAAGTGAAAATTAGAAAGAATTAGGAAAAGTCTTCATTTAACATTAAAAGAATCATGCCTTATTTTTCTATTTTTTTTTAATCTCTAAGGCATGTCGATAGGTTTTCTGGACCAGGCCAACTCAACTAATTTATCTAGCATAATACTGTCCAGAAAACAGGCACTCAAATATCTACTTAAAAATCAATGATGTTTTCTTATCTTCATCTATAATCTGTATTCTGATGCCCTTTTGACTTAGCCATGTCACTTCTCTTAGGACCTAGAATGATGTATTCCACATAAAAGATGCTCTAGTTTATCATATGAATCTAAAATCAAACCTGAGCCATTTAATTTTAAGCCAGGCAGGGTGGATCTCATTCACCTCCACCTTCAGCATTCAACATTTTAAAGACTGATAAAGCACTATAACATCTTCTTTTTTAAAAACATTTCCCATCTCTTCAGTCTAGCTAGAGAGCAAGGACACCCTCTGATTCAGATATTATCTTTCCACAGAGTTCAGCATTTAGCATACTTCCTGGCACAATTCCATTTTTCCCATGTTTTTATTAAATAAGCTTAGTAGTGGTTAACTTTTAGTCTGGATCTCACTTATTTCCTTATTTCTCACTGGATTTCCTTATTTCTTCCTATGAACACCTCATAAGAATAAAATCATTTTTATATCCTAAGGCATGGCATAGTTCTAAGCCTCATAGAAAGTAATCATTCATTAAGCCAAGTTATTTCCTTATATCTGTATAGAATAGCAGGCTTGTAAATTTACACAGATCTCTGTTGTAAGTTCAATAATAATGATAACTTCTGCATCCCCGTTTGTTGTCTCCACAGATAAGACAGAGTAAATAATCAATGTTAATTCAGCAGATATTGCTTATACATATATGGCAGTTTAAGACTTATAAATTGATTTTATACATTATCTGCTGCTACCCAGGACACAATAAAGATGGTTTATCTTCACATCCCTAATGCCTAGCAAGGAGACTGGCACGTAATAGACAATTATTAACCAGTTTTGCATTTACCAGATATTTAATCCTTTGCATATTATATTCAGAGTTTTTAATAGTTAAGAACTCTTCCTCAGATTTTTCCAACTTTTTTCATAATATAATAAGTCTGATATAATTTTATAAGCCCAGTACTCAGCACCAAATCAGAAAATCAGTAGTTACACTTATATGATGCTTTAGAGTTCCCAAAATGCTGACACATGTATCGGCTTATTCTCAGCTGTAAGCACAATGAAATGATAAATCTTTGTATCTCTTTAATGCCTATAATAGTGAGTCCACATAGTAAGTAACTGATATTCATTCATTCATTCAACAAGTATTTAAACCCTCAGTTTCTATAACTATTTATATTACCTTTGTCATAGTGGATGTCAGGAACACAATGAGAATTTTCTGGAGACAATGCCTATCTCACAGAAAGTTTTATTCACACAGAAAACAGCTAATGTCTTGTATTTATATAGCACTTTAGAAAGTGCAAGTGCAATCTCAATCATTACATTTACCTGTTACCTGGTAAAATATACTGGTGATAATTTAATTTGACATCACCATTAAAGTCTTGATTGATTAAAACAAGCAATATCCAATTCTTTACATCTAAATAGTCTAGGACATAAGCCCCCCTCTTATTACTTGGAAGCATTATCTTAGATTTCAGAGTACCCAAAATATACCTGGCCCATAAAAGGCAAATAATATTCATAAACATGTAACACACTGGTATCTATACAGTGCTTTAGTTTACAAAGTACTTTAATATGCACCTCATAATCTGACATTTTTAATTCCCTACTGAGGACACTGTTTTCCCTTTGACATCTGTAGCACTTAGCATGGTATGTGACATGTTATAAGTTTTCACAATAGCTTAATCCCTTGTGTTTGCAGTATATTTTATGCTTTAAAAGCAGCTTCCATGTGTTTGCTTTTCTGCTACCTGGAATACTGTACTTTTACTTAAAATTACCAGAGCAGCGGAAACATGATGGCCACAAATATATGAATTATTCATTTATCAAACAATTCCTAATATCTTCATAGTATTACATACTTCTGACAAAGTACTTTATTCAGGCTTCTTTTAATCTTTGTATTCACAGTGTCTAGTAGAATGTACAGTAGAATGTACATACTGTGTAGTCAATATTCATTCATCAACTCTGAAACTCATAAATCTTTAAGTGCTTTACAGTTTACAAAGCACATTCACATATTTTTCTTCAGGTCACCTGGATGTAATAGTAAATAATTATTGCATCCTTAAGTGTCTAGCTCAGGGACAGGCACACACAAGTATTATTCAGCACACAGTCCCTGGTATGTACATCAGGGATGATAGTATGGCCCACAGACCAAATCTACTTGGTTCACATGCTAACAGTAGTTTTTCTTTGTAAAGGGTTAATTTTAAAAAATGTGTCAGAGACCATATGGCTCACAAAACCTAAAATATTTACCATCTGACCCTTTACAGAAAGGGTGTAATGACCCCTGATTTACATAATGCTTCACAACTGACAGTACACTTTAAATGTCAGCTGTGCATGGCTGCTGATATACTATTAATGAGAATGCCTTGCACTTTTTTCTCTGCTTTACAATGCTTTCACATATATTCTCAATTGTTTAAATTTTTTTCTCTCATGGGGGGGAATCAAGGAAAGGATTAAACCTGCTAAGTAAATAGTCCCAAGTTCTCTCACCTTTAAACCTTGAGGTGGGTATTAAACCCAGGAGCAGTACTGGCACAGTCTACCAAATTATTAGGCCACTACTATGAGCAGGGAGTTCAAACTGCCTCCTTGGGGCCTCACTCTGTCCCAGGACCAATCATCTGTTTTTTAACCATCACTAGGAATCCCAAACCCCAGGAATCCTGCTCACCCAAGCTCAAAGAAGTAAGGTGTTTCTGGCTAGTGCTTCAACAGTCTGGCACATCTGGGTATTTCTTGTCTAATTCTTCTCACTGGCCTGGAACATCTCTTCACATTTTCTCTAAATAGCCTAGCACCTTTTTTCCCACAACAGCCTGATGCTTGCCTTTGCTCATCAGCCTATAGCTCCTAAAGAAAAAGGACAACTGAAATACAATGTTACCTATATGTCTCTCTCATGTGAATTGGAGGCAAAGACAAATGGAAATTTAAAAACCAAACAATAAATGGCCCAAAACTGTGATAAAAATTGGCTTAAGACTGGACCAAGCATAATATTGCCAATGTAAAGATATGTTTCCTTAAGGTAATGGCAACATCTAAAAGGGCATCTCAAAAAAGTGGGCTTAAATGGAAACATAAGAACTGTCAAGGGAGAACTGAAAATGTCCAAGAGTAGGAAGGATGGCAATAGAAAAAAGCTGGGGTTTAGCGTTCTCATCTTGGGATTTCCTTTGGTCTTGGGGCTTCTATCCTTCTTGGATTCTGTGTCATGTGCTTCTAGCTTCCCACCTAATTTAGCCTTGAGATAGATTTCTCTCTTTGACCTTCTGTCCATCTAGAGGCTGGAGTCCTGGGTCTTTATGTGTGTCTGGGGCCTTCCATCCTTGGATCTTAGATCTTCAAGCTAAAGTTTTTATATCAGGTCTTAGACATGGTGTCTTATGTCTCAGGCTTTCGATGGGTCCCCATTCTTAGGCCTTCAGTCTCCTACTCTGGGTCTTTGGACTTCTATCTAACTCAAGTCTTGAACTTTCCATCCAACTCAGTCAGGTCTTCTATCCAACAAGGGCCACCTTTTTACATCATGGTTGTCAGGACTTTAGATGGTCTCAAGCCTGAAGTTTCCACCTATCTTGAGACAGGTTTTCCATTTTTGTCTTTAGGTCTCAAGTCTCAAACCATCTGTCTTTTACTTTTGGCCTTCTCTCCATTATGGGCCTTCCACTTTCTGTCCATCATAGGTCCTGGGTCATCTCACAGGGTGTCCTGGCATAACGAACAGCTCTGCAATGTGTATTTTGATAGTTGACACACTGTACCTATTGGGAAGGGGTTAGGAAGCCCCTTTGTCACAAAGACACACACATGATCATACAAATGCACAAAAATATGCAAGGATAGAGGACTGCATAAAGTCAAAGAGGGGGAATCACAGACTCACAAAGAGGCTGAAATACTCAAAGGTGAGTAGAAGGGGAAAAGCAGAGAAGAAACAAGAAAACAGAGATGAATGCTGAAATGGAAAAATCACAAAGAGCAAGGAGACACTGAGACAGAGCAGAAAAAAAAAACAGAGAAAAAGAGACACTGAGACAGAGCAGGAAAAAAAAACAGAGAGAAAAAGAGACACTGAGACAAAGCAGGACAAAATAGAGAGAAAATGGCCCAAGAGACACAGAAATTTGAGATAATGAGTAGAAAAAGTAGAAGGGAAGGCAGAATGAGAAAAAGGTGAAATGTGAAACCAATAAGAAGGGTAAGGGAAGACAAAAAATCAGAGTTCACAACAGAACAAGAAGAGAGGTATAGGCAGAACAAGAAATGAACAAAAAGCACACATCATGTGACACAGAGACACAAAAGGAAGAACAGTGAAAGAAGAGCCAGATCTAGGAGAACAAAGAGAATCACTAACAAAATGAAAAAACTGGAGAGAGACATCCAAGACAAGGCACAGACAACTCTTAGGAACAAGAAAATGAGACAAAGATACACAGAGAAGAAACTAACAAGAGAATCATGGAATGGCTGAGACACACTTTAGACAGAGAAGGAAAACCAAAGAGATTCAAGAAAAAAATAGACAAAGAAATACACACTTATGAGTGAAAGAGGTAAGCAAAGGTAGACATTCAGAGGAAGAGGGTAAGAAGTAAAGACAAGATAAAGTAAGGGGCACAACAGGAATATGAGAAGCATCACAAAAAGAAGACAACAAAAGAAAACCAAAAAGTGCATTAATAATTAATATAAGCTATCATCAGTACCAATACTGCTTATATTACTAACAATAATTATTATAACAACCACCACCAATATAGATGTTTTCTATTTACAAATTTTTACCTTACAAATTTCTTACATAGAATCAAAACATGCCAACTCTGCCTCCCACTAGACGGTATTAATGGTCACCTGTATCGTGTCAAATGAACTTACAAAACTTCTTGGGTTGCCTTTTACTTACCATGTGCCAGACACTGTACTAAACACTTTACATACATGATTTCACTTAAGCCTCACATACGAGTCTAACCACAAACTAAATTGCCAAAGCCATACACCTATTGAGTAGCAGAAGATTTAAACAAAATGTGTACCTTTTAATATCCTGTTTCAATTGTTTACAAGGATTTTCAAAAGAGCCAAATAAGATGCCACAAATGAGTGAATATTATGATAAAGGGCCCTTAGAGAGCATCTAGTCAATCCCCTCACTTTATTTCATCACCTTTCCCCATCCCTTTAAAAAACTGACTTCATTTTCATACCCTTCCCAATTATAATGGCAACTTCAGGGACTGGGCTTCCTTTAACACTAAATCTTAACTGCAGTAGATGCTTTCACAAGAGAAGGTGAGAAAGAACCATGGAGGAAAAAAAAAAACATTTCAGAAAAAAAAAACTTTTTTTTGTTTTAGGCTTCTATAGTTTACATCTCTAAGAGTATCAAGGCATTTATGCGGTGAAGATAAGAAGAGACAAGGTGAGGGGCACCTGGGTGGCGCAGTCGGTTAAGCGTCCGACTTCAGCCAGGTCACGATCTCGTGGTCCGTGAGTTCGAGCCCCGCATCAGGCTCTGGGCTGATGGCTCAGAGCCTGGAGCCTGTTTCTGATTCTGTATCTCCCTCTCTCTCTGCTCCTCCCCCGTTCATGCTCTGTCTCTCTCTGCCCCAAAAATAAATAAACGTTGAAAAAAAAAATTTTTTTTAAATAAATAAATAAATAAATAAATAAAAAAGAAGAGACAAGGTGAGACTCAATTACTCTGACACAACTGTATGCAGACTGTAATATCTTTGAATTGCTTCAGTGAACCTAGTTGGTAATACAGGTTATTGGTTATCCTCGGAACTCACTTTTGGCACCCCCTGCACGTTAAACCATCATACTTCATCCTATACAAACCTGGAACAAACAACTATTAGCTTTAAAGTGATCCTCACAGGACTATTAACACTAATGACTTACTTCATTCTGCTGTTCTAAAATGTTAGCATGCCAGGCATGTTGATCTTCCTTTGATGTGTTCAAATTTCTTGCTCTCTGCATTGTTTTGGGGATACAATGATTTGGCAGATAAGAAGAGAACAATCAGGAGCTACAAAAAATGAGAGGGAAACAATGTAAATGCCATAAAGAAGTATTAATTGAGTACTAGGCAAGAGTTATGGGAAAATTCAAATTAATGAGCTATAGAAACGGGTCTCTACAAAGCTTAGAAACATAAAGTTGAGGTTTTTATGTCTTTAGAGATAAAACTAACACACGTTCTTCATTCAACAGAATAGGAAACTATGGCAAAAATAGGAAACTATCTTGCCTAATAACACTCACTGAATCACTGCAAACACCATCAATCCCAGTCTTATTCTTTTGGTTGAATAATCTGTACAAAATCTATATAATCAGGGCTTACTACTTACTGATCCTTACCTCCATCTCCCAACCTACATCCCCCTAATCAGCTTCTCTTATCACCAACCTAGAGTATGCAGGGTCCTGGTTCTTTAGACCCTACATCCTAGATGTGTGGCGACAGATAACTGTGCCATTTCTGGTCAGGTTCCATCAACCAGCAAATACAGCATAAAAAGATACAGCTCCTATGTATCTTTGCAAACAGTTTGTTTTGCATTTTATCTCAAAGACAGCCCAAGGCATCTTGAAATATGTAAATGATTGTCAAGATTCCCCAATAGGGCCTCAAGAAAGACTCTGGGGACCAAAGGGTCCAAAATGATGATATGCCATGATAAATGGTGCAGATGCAGCAGTTGTTTCCCATGCTCTCCTTAAAGAAAGAATTTAGGGGAGCCTGGGTGGCTCAGTAGGTTAAACATCCAACTTTGGCTCAGGTCATGTTCTTGCGGCTGGTGAGTTCAAGACCCGCATCGGCCTCCATGCCTATAGCCTGCCTCGGATTCTGTGTCTCCCTCTCTCTCTGTCCCTCCCCTGCTCGCACTCTGTCTCTCTCTCTCTCTAAAAAATAAACATTTAAAAAAAAAGAACAATTTAACTATAAGCCTCTACCACACACTAGTCCTACCCTAAACATCCTAACTCATGCAGCCTACTACTGTCTTCACATTATTTTCAACCATCTCACACCCAGTTGCTTCCCAGGTTAGTTAGGAAGCTGTTTTGACCAAAACATACACAGTTGATAATAATGGAAAAAATCTTAATGGAAAACTAAGTGCAACGTAAAACAAGATCAAAATTAAAAGCTACTTATGCTTTTAGGGACAACTTACCCACCTCTGATGTGTGGCGGTTGTTGTGAGACTTCCTACCTGGGCTCAGGAAAGAATCTTGGTAAAGCCTCCTAGCCTAGGGTTGTTGCCCAGTGATAGTGAGCTTTTCCCCTGGAGGATCCTCATGCCCCATCTCCACCTAGGGATCGTCAAAGGGAATGGGTCACTAACACTGTAGAGCAACAAGCCTATTCTTCAGAGGAAGATCTGGAGAAGAGATAAAAGAAAAATAAGTTACTGAAATGCAGAACACTGGAAAAGTCTGTCCCAATTAGCAATTAGTCATTAAATTAAACCTTGTCTGCCTTTTTCTTCAGATGGATTGAGGGGTGAAAATTTAAAACTGTGAAGCACTCCATATCCTACCTACCAGCCTAACAACATGCAAATGCTTCTATTCATTCCAGTTCCATTCCTTGCATTTCCCTTCATCTCCAAGAGCAATTTAAAACTGAGTAACTACCCAAATTCCCATACCGTGCTTTATTCTACAGTATCCATTGATGAGCATTTCTCTAGGGTGTATTATTAATACCTTGTTATTCTCATCATAAAATAGGATGGGCTTCAAGAAATCAAGGGCTTGAAAGTAAGAGAGGTAAGGTTTTCTCAACCAAGTGAGCCATCGAGTCACTTAGAAAAACTCCCATGTGATCTGACTCTGAGTTCTTTAAGAATTCTTCACATTGCCTCAGGCTTTTATAAAGCACTATTTTAAGAACTGAGCAATCTACCTCAATCAAAGTGCCTCTCCATCTAGTTTTATATAGCATTTCCATCTTTTAATTTTTATATCAAGTATTAACATACTGTAACAATGCCAAGGTAAACAAAACTGTTTTCTACTCAATCCACATAGTACATTTTCTTGAACAGCTCATATAAATGGGGCACCACCAGAATCCCAGGATATTCAGAGAAATCAATAATGGTTACAGGCATATAAAACACCTGTTATAACAACATCTAAGCATATCTATGCAAAAGGAAAAACAAGATACGGAAAGCTAGGAATCCAGTAAATAGCTTACACAGGCCCTTGGATCTCTGTTATTCTACCTTTCAGCAATTTTATGGTTCTTCAAATTAACAAATTCTCAACTTTTTAAAACAAGGGAATGACAGTGGCAATGGAATTGGGACTGCCAAAACAGGGCTAGGACACATATCAAGTTGGTACTATGCATCAACAAATACTCAACACTTACCTACTAGTCTGTCAAAGGAATGTGGAAATTTCAATTTCAAGGCTTGCTAATCAGAATGGATAGGTTTGTTCTATCTTTCCTACTAAGTAGCTATGATATGCAAAAAGAAGTGATTTATTGTTTTGCGTCTCTCATTCTTTGTTTTTGAAATGGGGATCAAGTATGCTTGCCCTTATAGACCTCACTGGAGCTTAGCTCTGGAGGGATAAATGAAATAATAGGCCACACTCATCTGTAAAGTCAAAATATGTGTATATGACCAAAAAAAATGTAGGAATTGATTTAAAAAAAAAAACTGGCTCATGTTCTGTTTTAAAAGCAGAGCTGCAAGAAGTTAAAGTCCATAAAGCCAAAGACAGAATTCCCATAATGATGAGCTCCCCAAACTACCTTTTTTTTTTTCCAGGTGGCCTGCAAGCCATCATCTTAGATTATTTGGAGTTTATCCAGATTCTCAAAAGGAAAGATCTGCTGAATGTGAAGCTGCTTAGAGCTACTTGCAGTCCTCAGGTTTCACATGCTCAGAACGTCCTTGAGAAGAAAGACAGGACTCAGGAAGACACCAAAACTGTTGAGAAATCCAACAATAAAAACAAAGCACTTTGTATGGTATGGTGTGGAAAGCACCAGGTATGGCTTCCAGATTCCTGATCAGGAATTACTATATGATAAGTACCTTTATATCAATATCAAACAAATTAGTATGTAAAAGATCACTTATTCAGCTCTACTCCCTAGATAAGATATCCAGTGAAACCAAACCAGTGTTCTATGATGTTCTTTCTCAATATGAGCAGAATAGGCGAATAGGCTTCAAAATCTCTTGGCAACATCCTTTCCCATCCTTAAGATTAGATACTTTATCCCCTAATACAGGCCTCCAGTTAAACATGGCAATTCATGTATATCTATACATATTTATTCTGCTCCTTCTTGAAACCCCATTAATGATGGTAAATGGGCATTCCATGTACAAGTAAATTTACTCAAAGAATTTTTAAATTAATGGATTGAAATACAAATTCATTTATACACACCCCAGTTAAGATACCTAAAAGGAAATGACTAGTCCAATCTCTCCAGATCTCTGATCCACTCTGAACCATATTTACTGAGTATGGCTACATTAGACCAAAGCCTTCTAGTTTTGTTTTTACACTGATGACATGTTCAAGAAGCATTCCCTTTCCATCAAAGGGAAGCTAAAGCCAGAGAAAGTGATTACATTTTGGAACTGGTAAAAAAGAAAAAAGCAAAACAAAAAAAAAAAACATATTTTAGGATTCAATACTCATTGACAAGAATTTTAAGACTCTCAATCTGTCATCTCATAGCTCAACAAAACGTCAACGTACTTTAGACCTAAAACCCTAGTGTCATAGCCTGCCAACTGGTTCAAGTACTCCAACACTAGCCAAGTCACAGAATCATCACAGCTAGAAGGGGTATTATTGATCATGTAATTGGACATTTTCATTCCCTAAATAAGGAAACTGGGAGCCCTGGAGATGAAATTCCATCAATGTTATACAACTAGTTAGTAGGTGGCCAAGTGGTACTTAAACCCAGGTTATCTCTCAATTCAGAGGTCTTTTGCCTGTGGGGTATGAGCAAGGATACTCAGGGGTATAGGAGACTTCTACAAAATTTTTTACCACATTTATATTTCACCATAAAAATAGTCTAGATCATTTAGATGACTACCTTTAAATGGAAAAATTCCAGTGCCAAATTAGTGGCAAGTGGTACTACTTTTGTTGCCTGGAGTTTAAAGAAAAGGACAGAGGAAATCAATATATAAATGAGTATTGTGCCAAATGAAAGACAAATAGCACTGCTATGTGCTATAACAAGATTTTGCAGCAGCTTGAAAAGGGTAATAATTTGGTTAGGGGTATTAACAGCACATGAGAGAAAAGACATGCCATGCTGCAAAGAAGCAATACGATAATAGTAACATTTTCACATTTTAGTAGCCATTTATATACTATTACTTTGTATACTTGCTGTGTTTTACAGTTTTATTATCGATCTAAGCACAAAGACTTTACTCTTATTTTTTTCATGCTCTTTAGCTTAAAAATTATTTCCATGAACTCAGAAGGGGCATATGAATTTTTTAAAGAAAAGTTTAATCAAATAGAGCAAAATGATAATTGTAGAATCTAAGTGGTGAGTATATTGGTGTTCACTAAACAAATTTTTCAACTTTTCTGAAAATGTTCATAATAAATGTTGGAGGGGAAAGAGGAAAAAATTGAGACAAGAGCTCCCTACTGTCAAACTTGTACAGATTTCAGAAACAGTGTCTCAAATATCTAACATAAAATATAAAAATTATGCCCAATACAAATTAACATGTTACTACTCCATATGCAATACAAGTGACACATCAATCAGAACACTTAAAAATTAGCACACCAATTAGCTTGAACAAAATTCAGTAAAATTACAATGTTGAAAATTGCATTTGGGTTACAAATTGCCAGGAAAAAAATCTACTCGTTGGGTCTTATGTAGGTACTTTGGAGAGCTAGCTGGAGGTCACTAAATGGATTTTCTCTACCTCACATAGGAACATATCCTTCTCTTCCCTCCCCGCCTCTAGTGTTCTCAAGGTACTATAGCTAATCACAAAAAAAAATACTGAGAAAATAAATGCATACCCAAGAAACAGATTACCTAACTTTATTAGAGTAATTTAACCTGAAAATGAGGTGCAAAATGTGGAAATTGGGATAGAGCCTAGTTGTTAAGAAAGGTTTGTTTCTGCAACCTATTGTAAGTTTCAAAACTTAGAGAAATATTTAGGGTAGAACAGTCATAATTAATTTCAGAAACTTGTAATCAACCTATAGCTAAACTCTCCCTAAACTCAACCATAGAGGCAACTGTCAATGTACTCACCTACCCTAACATGAACATTAAAAAAAAAAAAAAAAAAAAAAAAAAAAAAAAATCTAACCAAGCCAGGCTGTTGGAGTAGAAAGTAACAGATAATGCACGAGAGGAGACTATAATGATTCATGGGATAATGGGCTATAGTTGGAAATCTCTGTATAAACCCATGTTCAGCTGAAACTAGAGATTATTACACATATAAATACTAATAGATATGTACATATACATGAGTTAATATGCATATATATATATATATATATCTTTTTGCTCTTATCAATTCAGAAGGTATAGAAGCAATAACACCCCAGTAGCAATGAGCACACATAGCACCCACATCTCAATTTCTAATACTGCTCTCCAATAAAAAGAATAGAACTCATTGGAGAAATGGTAGATTCTGGGATGAGAGACATACACATGAGCCTGCAGCATCTTGTAGTGCCAGAAAGAGCTCAAACAAAAAACAAAAACTCACAAGGATGGGGTTATATTCAAGGAACCAACTGAAAGAACTCCCACTGGCCAAAGCTGAAACAATATGAACCAAAATAAGTAATAGTGAATCATTATCCAGCATATAAAATAAATATTCATGAGTCCATATTGGTATATGTGAACTATTTTTTTTTTATTTTTTTTCAACGTTTATTTATTTTTGGGACAGAGAGAGACAGAGCATGAACAGGGGAGGGGCAGAGAGAGAGGGAGACACAGAATCGGAAACAGGCTCCAGGCTCTGAGCCATCAGCCCAGAGCCCGACGCGGGGCTCGAACTCACGGACCGCGAGATCGTGACCTGGCTGAAGTCGGACGCTTAACCGACTGCGCCACCCAGGCGCCCCGAACTATTAAATAAATACATAAACTGGAGGAGAAAATATACATTTTCTATGCAGAAGAATTCCAAATAATTTATGTAGATACTTGACCATCAAAGAGGTGGAGCAAAACTCCCCATTCTTTAAGCATATAGTGAGTTCCTTTCAAATACACTATGATAAGGGAAAAAGTAATTTTTTTTAATGTTTATTTATTTTGTGAGAGAGAGCGTATGTGAGTGAGAGTGTGAGCATGAGTAGGAGAGAGGCAGAGACAGAGGGAGAGAATCACAAGCAGGTTTCGCACTCAGCACCAAGCCCAATGTGGGGCTCAATCCCATGACCTTGAGATCAAGACCTGAGCCAATATCAAAAGTCAGATGTTCAACCAACTGAGCCACCCAGGAGCCTCAGGGAAAAAATAATTTTATATGTTAAGTGGAGAAACTTGGCAAACAGTACCTTAGCCAAGTGATAAGGATCAATATCAACAATGATACGTCATATTGATAGTATGTACTCAAGAAGTAAAAATGGCAATCTATTTCTGTAGTCTTCCACCCAAAAACTCATGCTGAGTCTTGTCATGAGAAGAACATCAGACAAATCCAATAAAGGGACATTTTACAGAATACTTGACCGTTAGTCCTCAAAATTGTCAAGGCTATCAAAAAATAAAGTCTGAGAAATTATCATAACTAAGAGGAGCCTAAGGAAGACATGACTACTAGATAAAATGTGGTATCTTGGATGGGATCCTGTAACATTAAAAAAGCATTAAAGAAAAACTGAGGAAATGTAAATAAAGTATGGACTTTAGTTAATAATAATGTAGCAATACTGGTTCACTAATTGTGACAAATGTATCACAGCACTATAACATGTTAATAGTAAGGAAAAATGGGTGTGGGGTATACAGAAACTCCCTCTGTACTATCTTCAAAACCATTCTGTAAACCTCTAAAATAAGCAAGTTTTTTTTTCTTTTAAATCTTCCAACCAGATGCTGAAGGCTTAAAAATCGCAGGGTTTTTGTTTTGTTTTATTTATTTTTTAATATGAAATTTGTTGTCAAATTGGTTTCCATACAACATGTTTTTTTTAAAGCAAGTGCAAAATGGACCTGAGAACTGGTAATTCTGTGTTCCAGATTTTGCTCCAGTAGGTATCATCATTGTTGGCAAATCTGGCCTAAAGACTTGCTTTTTCTTTTCTGTTTATAAGGATTTAATTGTACTTAGTTTTAAAGTTGAAACATATGAGGCCCAAATATGAAGAATCCACAATGTCAAAGTTATTAAAATTAGCAATTAAACTCTTGTTCTTGTTCATCAGACTTTATGGAAGGACCCAGTCAATCCATTACAAAACGAAGGCAGTGAGTTATAGACAGTTTTCAGTCAGGGAAACATGTAAGGCTAAAAAATTCTAATGGTATATAGATCATAGAATAATTGCATACCAATGCTAAACAATGGCAAGCATACTAACGAACAAAAAATATAGTATGCCATAAGTTTTCAAAGCTATGAATTAAAATAACCTAGGTATTTGGTAATGAGTCCAGTAATGTAAAAATAGAGTATGACAAAAGTTTTCACCCCTATGGATAAGGTAACCTAGAAATTTTATGAGACATGGTAATGTACACTGATCTCCCAGCAATATCCTTACTTCCAAACTGTTACAAACATTCAGTTACATATTTTATGCAATAAGAAAGTATTACTTGGATCTGCTGCATAGCCTCTAACATTTCTGGGGAAACTAGAATAGCATTCTAGTTGGTCAAACAAAATAATAAGTCTACCCAACATCTAAGAAATCTAGCACTGGCCAAATTTAAAATTTGCTTCAATCTCTCATCCTATCATGAAGAAATCAAAAGCTCATTTCCAACGTAGTCATCAGAATGAAGGATAGAGTTCTTCAACAAATTCATTTGCACAGGGAGCACAAGGAGCCTAACATTCGATGTCTCAGTACTCTAATTTGGAGAGATCAAGGAAAAGCAATCCAGTAAAACCTAAATCACCAATAAAAAGTCAACATAATATCATCAATATAATGATATATAACTGTGCATGGCCATTGAAGTTTAACTTGTTAAATTCATTGGGTCAGCTAAGTCTCAAACAAATACTTAAGATTCAACTTGAGTTGGATTTTGAGGGAAACCAGTGTTAAGTGCCATTTGTCTATGCCAAAACTATGGTACTGAGAATATCAAGCTTTCTTCCAATCCAATCTGCAAGGCTTGAGACAGAGGAAGGCATTAGCTCTGTTTAACCATACACCATCAATACTCTGTCACCAACCAAGTTTATAAGGTTTGGGGGAACAGTTACCTCAGTTCAGATATCAATTTTCTTCTCTTTAATATGGTAAATTCCCAGAACACTTTCACAAATAAGAACATTTTAGCAGACACCACAGATTAACTTTTTAAATTATTTACTTCAAGTCAAACTCCCATGCAGGTGTACATTTGCTAACCAGGGCCGATATCCTGAAAAAAAATTATGAATGCTTAATCATAGCAGCCCTAGGTCTTATGTTTTCCTACAATTTAGGGAGGTGGTTAGAGAAATGGGTAGATAAGTTGTAGAAAGTTAGAAAAACTAAAGGGGTATTTGGGAAAAGATGCACAAAACAAGGATCAGAAAACTTCCTCCAATCCTATATATTAAGGTTCTATAAGAAAGAAAGTCAGAAATGAAATCACAATAACCACTTAGAGAAATGCCCCCAAAAAACCTTAAGTGCCTTCCAATTTTGCAAATGACAAAATGTCATTTTCAGGGATTGAGACATTCGATTCAAGTCTCTGTCTTAATTTATCAGCCATCCCTAGACTGAAGTTGAGACAGATGGTGATTTTATCCAAGGACCAGGACCAAAGGCTAGATGTTCCTATTCCCACTTCTGAACTTTTTCATAAATTTGCCAGCATCTCATTCCTTCTGTCCCCAAACTCATGAAAAAAGTGACTCTATCTAAGAAAACATGTGCTTCATTAAAATACACTTGCAAAAAGCAAGAAATACTGAAGTTGTGTCTGTAAGCCTTTAGCCTACATATCCCGAGTAAACTGATCAAAGTGCTCCCTAGTCATACTTTGCATTTTCCTCTTGCCATCACTTTGCTCAATAAGAGTGTTTCTTTCACTCTTCTTCCTCTGTGCCCCACAGAACTTCCCAACATGTTTATGCTACTCATCAAATTGCCCAACAGCATAATTATTTGCTCATTTTAGCATCCTTGTTGACAGGAATTGTATCTATGGTTTTGTTATTTATTCCAGTGTATAACCCAATAAGTATGTTGAGTTAACACAAAGATTATATCAATTTTGAAGATGCCCACATTTTCAGAGCATCCCATTTTATAAATGCTAGAGACTTTATTTCAAGCAATGAATTGAAATATAATATAATTAATTATACTATAACTATAATATAATATAATATCCAAGATTCACCTTTGGATGCTGTCTAGTGCAGGCTTCAATCCACTTAAAATTGATCCATCCTTCCTCTTCAGTGGGGGTATAGAACCAGCTCAGAATTGATCCCTTTAAAACAAATTCCAATAAATATTTATAGTTGTATATCAATGTTGAATAATTTTATTAGCAACAAAAAAAGGTCTCAAGCATAGACCAGTGTTTCTCAAATTGGGGTGATAAGAACCCTGGGGGTTTGTGGATATATTCTCAGGGATCCCCAAATCCTACATAAATTATATAAAACATCATATACCTTTAATAAAGATATTTTAAAATTGGAAAATACGTTTACATTTCAAATAACCTTGTTAAGTCACTGTTTCTCAAAACATATATTCTTTAGGATCTCAAGAAATTTTGTTCCTTTAAAACGCATTTTATCCTGACTAATTACTTCAGTTTGAAAAACATGGCATAGACCACATTTCCAAGGTGGCTCAGAATCATTTGTATACTACTACCAGTCAGACTGGGGGATGTCTTTAGGCATCGGTGGAAAACAAGCCATGAGGAACTATGGATAGGAATTAAAATGAGCAGTAAGAGAAGCTCCACTCATTAGTATGGTTCTTCTTGCTCCTGCCAGGATGCATGGGTATGCACAAAAGTTTCGAATTTGATGTTAATATTTTTTTTCAGCTGGACCTTTTTCAGTTTGTTTCATACCAGGGAGGCTAAGCTTTTTAGCTTATCAAAACATCTGCTGAGAAAAGGGGAAGGGGAAATGGTATATTTAACTTCATAAAAGTGGGCAATGTCATGGTTTTCTTATAAAACTTACATTTCTCCATTGCCTTCTTGCAAAGAAGGTTCTACAAATATCTCAAACTAAAAAGGCATCACTACTCTCATGTTTTGGGGCAGAGATAGAATAAAAAGGTACAAAATGCCAACGTATCAGATTTATACCCCCAATCCCTGAACCTTGAAAAGTTCAAGCTTATAATGAGATTTGACAATCAACAATTCCCCAGCCTTGGCATATAGCCAAACACAACAAGCTAGGTCTTGTCTCTTTAATCACTTTTCATACCTCTAAAAGAGGTAAAAACAAAATGACACTAAAATAAACCAACTGGACTACACATATGGCTGCAATATTAATCATATCGTAGACCAAAGAGAAAAAGTAAACCCACCTCCCTCTTTAAGTTGATCCAACTAACTTCAAAGCCTAGTGGGCTCCCTTTTTAAAACTGTAACTTACAATTCACACCACACAGCACTTGATTATCATTCCCTAAAGGTATTTCAAGTGTGCTTATATTAGCTTCCCAGAAATACAACCATCGCAGAAATGAGATTATATAGGACTACATCATTTCTACCCCTCACTTCAGTGTAAACTAGCATAGAGTGGGGTATACAATATTTCTGTTGGTTAACTCATATGGTGATATATATATATATTATATATATAATTGCAGATGAGACAGGAACAAGGAAGGAGACCCTCTGACTTTTCTACGACTAGCATTTAAGAGAAAGAAAATAGAACATGGAAAAGATTACTTAATAGCTACAAAGTAGTACTTACAGTATTCTAAAGAGCCAGAGACTCTTCTTACAGCTGTCCAAGGAGCTAGTAGTGCATACTGCACCCTGAGCTGGGCCGATCTTTTGACATCCTTGTCAGAGGAATAGTATCCTTTTTCAGTGATTACAAAGAACTGCTGTTGTGACCACTAGTTATTTGCTTCAGGAGTTCCATATTAAACACTTATCTGCCACACCCTGCACACTAGAGACTAGGATATTATTCATTTTACCAAGCAGCTGTTGAAATTCATGTCCAGAAGAATGATTAGATCTTGGCTTATTTTTCAATCTAAAACAGGGAAATTGGACCCATCATTTCTAATCCCTCACTTCAGTGTAGTGCTTCAGGCTAGTTTAAATTAGCAGATTTAAATAGTGTGCATTTTATTTATGTAATAGATTAATCAAGTAAGATGAATTATGGTTTTCAAAAGTGCCTCAGCATATGTTCTCTCATTTCATTCTTTTACAGCAATCTTCTTGAAATAAGTAAGGGGTGGTAGATGCTTCAGATGAAGAAATTTAAGGATTAGAATGTTTAGGTAGTTTTTCTAAAAGTGAACAGTGGTAAAGCCCAAATAAATAATGGGTTTTAAAATGGTGGTAGAACCCAAAGATATTGGTCTTAAGAGTTCCACTCTAGAAGTCTTTTGGGAATACCAAAATAGCAAGAGTCACAGTGGTCTATCCACAGACCCAGCACCCTTAGTAAAATGAGAGACACTGGTCATCAGGTACATGGTATAAATGGGTTTTTGGACCTCAAAATTCAATGACCAGGTTTACAATTCCACCTTGCAAACAGTATTTTTTTTTTAATTGTACGCTGGCAACTGGCACAGTACAATAGCAATATACAAGAGGAGAAGCGAAATTCTTGGCCAGGCAATCTGCTCTGGAAAGAAGAATACACACACAATGCTAATCTTTCTTCCTGGGGAGACAATTTTCAACTGATACTTATACTGGAAATCTAAAATAAAAGGTGGCAATCTTTTCTAGGCCTGACTTGCCTTGAGCATTTTGCTCAGTGAAGCAGTAACAGAAATGGTCAGGGATGGTTCCTATCCCAGAATGTAACAACTGGAATTGGGATTATTAACAAATGCAGACAAAGGAGTGAAGGTCCATCCACCTAATTCAGGCCTGCTTTGGGTAGTCAACACTGCACAAACACATCAAAATGGTAGGAAAATCTTGGGCTGATGACCTGAAAAAATGGGACAATCAGTACTGTGTTAATAACACAGAAGAGACTTTGGGTACTCAGCATTACTCAGAAGCAATGCAAAGAAGTGGAGGGGTCCATGTCTGATGGGAGGGACCAAGGATAGTGCAACTGAGGCATTACAGCAATACAAAGTGAGTAATGCAATGACATCTGGGATTGTTAATGTTTTAAATCCAAGAGAAAGGGCCTTGCCCAGTCAACATTCCCCAGCAATAATGCAAAAGGGGCAGGGTGGCGTTGGGAGGGAAAAAGGAACACAATCTTATTTAGTGGCCCAATACATGAACACCTGAAATTGTGAGAATGGTGCTTATGCACCTTGGATGGGTCCAAGGGTGAGCAAGGGGTGGGAAGAGGGAAGGAAGGGGAAGATCATGACTACTTGGAATTTTATACATAGAAGCAATACAAAAGGAGAGGGAGTATGGGGTACTATTTGATGGACAAGTTCACAGCATACTGCCATGTTTATACTTTATTATGCCAAGGGAAATTGGGGCTGGGAGTGTTTGCCTAACAAGGCCAGGGAGGAAAAACCCATTGCTAATTGCCATTGTGCCCACTAATAGTCCCACTAATTGCCATTGTGCCCACTAATAGTTTAATAACTCTAAACTAATAGAGTTTTGTGTGGTCAGCAACCCCTGCATTAATGCAAAGGGGGTTTAAGGGAATGTTATCCTAAATTTAACAGAAGGGAACATAGACAATTGCACATTGACAGTCCAAGAAAGGGGCCTTAGTACCCCTGATGTATACAAAGCGGGTACAGAGGTCCCATCATTGCTAGTGGTGCACATTAATTGTCCAAGAGCTGAGGTCATGATAGCACTCCTCAGCAGCAATCCAAAGATAGTGGTAAATGCATAGGGCGTCCTTTCACACTACACAAATCCACAGACACATACAAGTCTGTACAATTATAATCTCAAGAGAAGAGCTCATTTATTGTTAACACACCCCTGATACAAAGGGGGTTTGAGGGAATGCAACCCTAGTCCAACAGAAAAGATGGACAATTGCAATTATGCACATTAGAGTCTAAAAGAAAGGGCATTAGGTAAATAACATCTCCTTACTCCAAAGCAAAGAGGGGTTCTAGTATAAGACACACTTAGCAAACTGCATTTATGCACATGAACTTTTCAAGTGAAGAGTCTTAAGTAGTGGACACTACCTGCTGAACCTGGTAAGGAAGTAGGCAGGATCCTTACTGAGTGCACAAAATAGGAAAAAAATGCAATTGCACATATTACCACTCCAAAAGAGGGCCTTGGTTGATCAGTACACACTGCTGTACTGCAAAGGGAAGCTGAGGGTGTATAACTACTTCAATTATGAATATTAATGGTTTACTAGAAAGAACTTGGGGAGAAAACAGTATCCCCTGCAGCAGTGCAAAGCAGATACGTTAGTTTTGAAAGTGATAGGGTTGTGCAAACTACAATTCTGCACATTAACCATCCAAATGTAAATGTCACAGCAGTGGGCACCACCTACTGGAAGGCATAGAAGTAGGGGTGGAGGATGTCCTCATCTAGTGCACAAGAACCCAGACTAATGCAATTATGCACATTAACAGGATAAGTTAGGGATCAGCAACCCTAGCATACAGCAAATGACATACAACAGAGTAGGATGAACTAAGTTGCAATTATGTACATTAATGTCCAACAGACATGGTATGATCAACTAAAACCATGTATCTTGTACAGATACAAGGATCTTAAAATAATGGGCACTCCTTGCTAAAGATAAAGGGAGTGGGGAGAGGGGTGTCCTTATTTGGTGTACAGAAAAATGTACAAATGCAATTATGCATAATCACAAGGCATGAAAAAAAGGTCTTAATGATCAGTACCCCTTCTGGGGTCTGAGAAGGTAGTATCTTATTCAAACAGGATGAGCCTGTGCAATTATGCACATTAATGTCCATGGTGCATGGCTGTGGTCAATTACAATTGTCTTCCTTGACTGCTCAACAGTCTTGTACAGGGCATGGTCTTGTACAGTGGGCACTCCCTGCTTGAAGATACAGGGAGTGGAGAGAGGTTTTCTTCTCTAGTACATAAGAACCCAGATAAATATAACATGCATCTTAACAGGCCATGAAACGGAACCTTATGGGTCAGAATTCCCTGCAGTACTTCAAAGGGAGTGTAAAGGGGAAGAATCCCAATGTAATGGTCATTATGCACATTAACAGTTTGAGAAAGGGGCCTTAAATGGAAAGTACCCCATAAAGTAAAGCTTAGAGGCTGTGAAAAGACTCAGGGACCCAAGTTAACTCAAAGGACAGTGGACAACCAATACTACACACATCCAGAGTCCCAAGAGAAAGGCTTTAAGGTGGTCAGTCATTTCTGCTTCAGTAATTGCAGGAGTCTTGAACTAAAAGGTACAGTTGTGGACAACTGAGTATGCACAAGACAACAAAGGCTGTGCACATTAACTGCATTAGTGTGTAAAACCTTAAGTAGTAGGCACCTCTTGCTGGAATATAAATAGTATGGGGAGAATCCTTATCTAGGTATAAGAGTGAATTTAAGTATGCACATTAACAGTCCAAGAGAGTGACTCTTGGCTAGTCAGAAGCCCCCACAGTAATGTAAATTGGGCAAGGAAATGAGATCCCATTCTAACATAAGGGACCATTGGTTACTGTAATTATGCACATTTAAACTATAAAGGAGAAGCAGTTATAGTTGGTCAGCACGCCTGACACAGAGAAGGTGTGATGGGGATGGGATCCCCAATTTGGGGATGTGCAATCTGGCACATTAACTGTCCAAAAGAAGGACCTTAGGTGGTTAGTACCCCCTGCTATAATACTAAGAAATAAAGATATTAGCTTATCAAGAGGATATATGCACATTTAGAGTCCTAAGAAAAATACTTTGAGATACTAACATCCCCTGATGCAATACAAAAAGGGTGGGAAATTAGTTAAAAGTGAAGGACCATAAACACTGGAATTTTGCTACAAATAATCCCCCCAAAAAATAACTAAAGTAATTAATACAGAGAGTACGGGGGACTTAAATGAATGACAGTGTGGTCAATTACCATGGTTCACTTTATTGTAGTACAAAGGTCTTGAATAAAGGGCATTCACTGCTGAATACAAGGGAAGTTAGTGAAATCTTATCTACTGCAGAGAAAGATGAACAAATGCAATTATGCACATTAACAATGCAAAAAAAAGGGGGTTTTGGTATTCAGCACCCCTTACTATAATGCTAACAGGGGGTCAGAGAATGAGATACACCTGAACAGTCTCCAGTACCTTCTGTGGTAATGCAAAGGGAGTTAAGTTGCAGGGCGAGGGGCAAGGGATGAAATCATAGAGCATAAAAACTGTCCCAAGCACCCTCTCTGATAATGTACAAGGAGTTGGAAGGCATGAGATCTGAGACTAAGAAAAGGGACCAAATCTGCATTTGAGCACATTCATAGTACCAAGTGCCCTCAGCAGTAACCCAAAGTTTGAAGGGCATGGATCTCAGAGTAGGAGAAAGGACCACACCTGCAACAGCGCCCTTTAATGGTCCCAAAAAACCTTCCCCAAGTATTGCAAAGGGAGTACAAGAGAATGGGATCCTAGACTAACAGAAGGGACCACAGCTGCAGTTAGCACCTTAACAGTCCCAGATGCCTTTCTAGGTAATGTAAAGGGGCTGGGAAGTCATGGGTCCTAAATTACAAAAGTGACACAGCTGCAATGAAGCACTTTAACAGTTCCAAGTACCCTCTGCTATAATGCAAAGACAGTAGGAGGGCATGGAAAAGTATATGAACAGAAGGAACCACAGCTAAAATTAAGTACTTTATAAGTTCCAAATACACTCCCAGATAATGTAAAAAGGAGATGATGGGCATGGGATCCTACAAAACAGAAGGTACCACAGCTGCAACAGAGCATGCGAAAGGCCCAAGTACGCCCTGCTGTAATGCAAATAGAGATGGAGGTGTGGGATCCTAATCAGAAGGGAACAGTGGCTGCAATTAAGCACCTTTCAGTACCAAATCTGATCCCAGGTAATATAAAGGGAAGAGGTGGTCATGACCAGCAAAATGGGCCACACCTGTATGTAATGCACATTTACAGTCCCAAGCACTATCTGCTATAATGCAACGGGAGTTGGAGGACATCGGATCCTAGACTAACAAAAGAGACCCGCAGCTGCAAATGAGTACTTTAAAAGTCCCCCAAATCCTCCCAGATAATGTAAAGGGAGTAGAAGGGGATGGGATCCTAAATCAACAAAAGTGACTACACCAGGAATTAAGTACTTTAACAGCCCCAAGTATCCAATGCTATAATGCAAAAGAGTAGGAGGGCATGGGAAACTAGACACACAAAAGGGACCACAGCTCCAATAGAGCATTTAAACAGTCCCAAATACATTCTCAGGTAATGCAAAGTGAGTTGGAGAACATGGGATCCTAGACTAACAGAAGGGACCAGGGCTGCAATTAAGCCATTAAAAGTCCCAAATATCCTCTGCTATGATGGAAAGGGAGTTAGAGGGCATGGAATGCTAGACTAACAGAAGGGACCACAGCTGCACATGAGCATATTAATTGTCCCAAATCTGTTACTAGGAAATGGAAAACCAGTTGGAAGGGACTGGAAACTAGATTAACAGAAGGGACAACAACTGTAATTAATAAGCATGTTAACATTCCCAAATCTGCTCCCGGTAATGTAAAGGGGGAAGGACAAGAGATCCTAGACTAACAGAGGGGACCCCACCTGCAGTTAAGCACTTTAACAATCCCAAGTACCATCTGTTGTAATGCAAAGAGAATAGGAGGGCATGGGAAACTATACTAATTTAATTATGTGGTCTCTTTTAACAGTCCCAAAAATCCTCTCAGGTAAACAGAGTAGGAGGGGATGGGACCCTGGAATTACAGAAGGGACTACAACAGCAATTAAGCACTTTAACAATCCCAAGGACCCTCTGTTATAACGTAAAGATAATAGGAGGGCATGGGAAACTACTAACAGAAGAGACAACAGCTGCAGTTAAGCAACTTAGAGTCCCAAATACACTCCCAGGTAACACAAAGGCAGTTGGAGGGCTTGGGATACTAGACTAACAGAAGGGACCACAGCTACAGTTAAACCCACTAACAGCCCCAATGACCTCTGCTGTAATGCACAGGGAGTTGGACAACATTGGGATCCTATAACAGAAGGGACCAGAGATGCAATTAAGCATTTTTTAGTCCCAAATACCATCTGATAATACAAAGGTAATACAAAGGATCCTAAACTACTGGGACCACAGCTAAAATTAAACATATTAAGAGTCCCAAGTAGCCTCTGCTGTATGCAGAAGGAGTTGGAGGACATGGGACCCCAGACTAACCAAAGGGACCACAATTGCAAATGAGCACATTACTAGTCCCAAATCCACTCCCAGGTAATGCAGTGAGTAGCAAGGGATAGGACCCTAGACTAAGAAAAGGGACCACAGCTGCAACTCAGCACTTTAACAGTCCCAAAGATAATACAAAGGGAGTTGAAAGATATGAGATCCTAAACTAACAGACAGGACCATGACTACAATTAAGCACCTGAAAGGTCTGAAGTACCCTCTGCTGTAATGCAAA